AAGTAGATCTTTTCCGTCGCCTAATTTATTTATTTGTTTTTGTGGAACATGTGGAAGAACCTTACACAGTGGAGTTGACATCAGCCATCAATATGTGTGTCCTTGTTTTGTTTGTTACATTTTTGGAAAAAGCAAACTGCAGGTACAGAGAGTGTTTCATCAACAGCGTGTCATTGATATCTATGATAGACTACTTATTCCAAGACCAAACCACGTTCCCAAAGAACATACTAAAAGATATTCTGAGTGTAGATAACATCCAAGATGTTGGGTCTAATTACCCCCATTATGAAGTTTTACCAGAGTATTACACTCAAGCTTGTATCTTCTTCTGACATTCACAAGTTCATTTTAGATCAGATTCATCATCAAGCCCCAAACACAGTCATTTTATCCTGTTTTCCCACAACAGAAATATTTCTACACTTACAAGATGTATTTTGACACTCACACTGTTGAATGCTTTTATTTTCAAACTTATCAATCCAGGAGAGCCAAATGGAAAACATACAGTATAGATTTGATTTGAACAATAGAGTCAGCGTCTAATTAATCAAAAGGTTTTTACCCCATGAAGCAGTTCAGCAAACATGTAAAACATACACTTGGGCACTTTAAAGCTAGCTAGTTATGTTGTACCAAAAAGTGAAAATTAATACAGTTATAATTGACTTGTTGGCCTATAATCTAAAAATGTAGGTCCAAAATATCTCTCGTGAATGATATCGAGTCATTCGGAACCAGAAAGTAACTATATCCTTTATTAATCCAGCTAAAACGTCTCATTTTCAATAAAAATGCGTTTTTAAATAGAGATCGGGCAAAGGGGGCAGCAGAAATGGTAACAAATACGACATAACAGTTCTACAAATATACTTTAAATGACAAGACTGGTTATAACGTGGGCACAATAAGGCACACGCTTGCAAGATAGGCCATTTCTTTAGTTTATTTATAACGCCCTCATAAATCCTGTCCATTACACTCTATTTGCCAATATAAGAAAAATATTTATAAAATACACACACACATAGAAACAATCACTTTCGGCACAAGAAGGGAGAATTTTATTTTAAATAAATGTATTAAAATATAAGTTAGGTTATTATTATGTCCGACAGGTGGCGCAAAAGAGTTCAGAATTGTACTGAGTTGGAAAATATTCAGACGACTTCCCTTCTTCTATATTCCACAAAATTTTACAAACCCTACTTTAGAAATTGGAAATATATATTTGAGAAATATCAGCAACGCTGAGGAAAGGCCCTCAGTATTTGCATCTGCGAGGATGAAGCACCACTGAGGGGCTTTGCTTTGTACGCTGCAAAAATGAATACATTCATTCATCTAATTTGAATCTTTTAAGCCTATTTATTTCTTCATTTTTAACCAGCTAATGGCACATTTTTACGCATTTCTCTGCTATTTTACCAACAGTAGGATGACCAGTTAGATTACAGTCACCAACCTTTATATTTTGGTTTGAGAGCCTCTCACTTCTTGCAGTGTTCGCTCCGCCTTCTCGCCTGTCTCCGGCGCTGCGCTTTAAATAGCAGCTGTTTAAAAGCTCCTCACCATTCTCCCGTCTGCCGTGCAGCACGCAGTCCCCACTCGGCACCGCAGTCCTCCCCTTCCATCCACACATTTCTTTAATAACACTCCTGCACATCTCGCTATGTCGGCCGCCAGCACCGAAACCAGTGCCCCTTTGCCCACCGCCGGCAGCCGCGTTTTCTTCCAAGGTGCGCCCGGAGTGGGCTGCGTGGGGTCCGGACCCATCAATGGGGAAGACACGGTCCAGAAGAAGCAGGGCAAAGTGACCGTGAAGTACGACAGGAAAGAGCTGCGGAAAAGACTTGTCCTGGAGGAGTGGATCATCGAGCAGCTCAGCGTGTTGTATGACTGTGAGGTAAGTCGAAAGAAACTCCAAAGCCGCACACGGTTGTGCGCTCTTGTCACCGAGACGGCTGGACAATGAACAGCCCTGGATGAAAAAAAAAAAGTGGCCCTGCATAGCTGCTTTGTTGTTCTTTGAGAGGTTGTGTTTTTAAATCTTATCTTTTTGTCGCCTTCAAAGACGATTAATCGAAACCGCTTTATACATTTCTCCTGTTTGGTCGACTTTGCTTTTTATGTTCAGTTTCAGTGTTGATTAGGCAGAACTGCAGCAGCCGGACTACTCTATCACTTTAGATGGTTCACTGCGTTTACAAGAAGGGCACCTGAATAAAGTACGTCCATGTTTCATCTGACCCCAAATATTTTAGCCGGTGTCTCTCTGTGCTATGCAGCACTCATACCAGCTGGCTTGAAGATACAAAGCTGTGTGGTACTCATGTGTCATGTCCCGTGTAATTTTCTCCCTTGTTAAGGAGAAAGAGGAATGGCTGGCTCCACGAAGGTGAGAGATCGGCGAGAGAGAAACCGCACGTTTGCGCTTTTTACGCACCAGCCGCGTTGGCCATGAACGACCGAGTCGCGCTTTGTCTCGTTATTCAGTGTGTGTCGAACGAGTAACCTCATCCTCACGCGCCTCTGTGAGATCAGCCCATGTAACAGGCATCCATCCACCTCGCGTGCATTTACCTCTCCATCCTCGAGAGCGAAACCTCACAGGCTTATGATGTGATGGTAGTTTTCTCCGCGTGCTGCGTGCGCAGACAGCACGCGCTGGAAACGAGTATTGTGGCAAATTTCTGCCACAATACTCGTTGTGGGGGACGAAAGGGGTGCAGAAAGAGAGCCGATCTATAAGTCATGTCCAGGTGAATAGAGCCAGGCCTGGGGGATGGGGGAAATAAGAAGGGCAGTGGGTTAAGGACGAGCTGATACTGTGACTTTCGTTAACAGCCAATCAGCTCCTCTGACTCTGATTCCCCCACACCTTCAAGCTGAAGGTCTCCACAACTATGCACACACATACAGCCTTACAGTATGCCTGTCGCCACAGACTCAGCCAATCAGAGACTAAATAGGGGTCTGCGAGCATGTATGCACATGTGCATGAATCGGGCAACACAGAGGAGCTGAATTTTATTTAAACATAAGGTACAGGTGTGGGGACATGAGTATGTCTCATGTCTGCAGTTGTGGATGCGCATGTGGTTGCTAATGAATGCAGTATGTTGACTCTAACAGTAAATCTGAGAGCAGTATTTGTGTGAATATGCAGAAAGGAAACTTTTGTTGAAATTACAGCAGGATGCTGAATGTCATAATGTCTTTTTCAGTAGTTTGTTCTTCTGCTATTTCTTTCCCACATTTAATGCATATAGACCTCATGCATGCCTTCTGCACATAGAAGTGCCTTAGTATGATTTATATAGCTGTCATTTTGTTTGCAAGCTTTCTGTTTTTTATGGTTCTGCTTTGGTTCTTCCCTGGGTTTCTCAGAGTCTGCCTGAGAGCAGACTAGTTTCAATTTCAAAGCCATCCGAGCTCTCGGGCTGTGTGTCGGACTGTCATCAGCAGGTGTGCTTGATCTACACAGAGGTGACTGGAGTATTTGATGTTTGATGACGGCTGGAGTGCACTGGCCCAGCGCCGATCTGTATTTTGGACTGTGATTTGCTTCATGCAAATGGATATTTAGATAAACAGGAAAACACAGTAGGTCAAGCACGTACGCAAGCTCTCGTGATTTCCAGACAGAAAGAATTCGACACTTTTCTAAGAAAACGCTGCTTTTGGTCGACTTCAGTTTAATGACAGAGTCCCTGCAGTGTAGATTTCAGCAAAGATATTCCCAGCAGCCTTACACCTCCTCATGTCATGTCTTTCACACGGCAAATGGGATAATATCACATGGTAATCCCCTGGCTCACTGGTGTTGTTGGCAGTCTGATGTCACACTGGATGCTGGAATGAGATCGGTGTTGTTGACTAGTGTTAGAATGACACGGGGCCTGATAATGAAATGAAACCAACACATCAATATTCTCCATTATTTTGACACAGTATCACTCTGCTGCATTGTTCAATGCTTTCTTTCACACAACACTGAAAAAAATATTCTTTTCCCTCATAAAGATGAAGCAATTATTTTGCATAAGGTGGAACTGAAATAGATCAAATCCAAGGTTTATATATTCAAATAATTAATCATTGAGGAAAATGTGGGCTTAAATTGTTTTTTGAGTTTATGCGCGTTCATGTTCATAGCAGTGTTTAAGCAGGTGGCTCTTATGGCTTTGCTGCTGATGCTTGCTCAAATGACTGTAAGCATGAAGTCACACCCACTCCATGCCTGTTAACACCTCAAGAGCAGGACCCAAGATAGACCAAAGTGTGTATTTTTGTGTTTGTGTGTGCACGGGTGATAAATCGAAGTGGAGGCTACTGATTTGAGCGTGCTGGTCAAGCTGAAAGGTCAGCCACTATATCAGTTTCATGAGAAAACCTGATACTAGCAAGCATCACAGAGGTGTGGGTATGCGTGTGCAAGTTTGTGTAGGCGGTGTGGTAATGTGGTG